GAGGTGGTCTGCTGTCAGCTTAACCTAAGATATTGTGGTACATGTTGGGTGTCACTTGAAGGAAAAATGAGTTTCAGGGTCTTTGCAATAAGTATGTATTTAAAAACAGTCAGTGGTAACATGGATTGAGGTGCATACTACTGCCTTGGGACTTAATCCAATTGCAATAATAATGATGAAGATGATATGTTAGTCTGCTTTCTGTTGTTGTAACAAAATACCTGAGGCAAGGGCCCCTTGACTACGTCACAATGTGGCGGAGAAATGGAAAGGTAATTGGTCACATGAAAAGGGGGCCATGCATATGGGGTGGCCTCACTTCATAACAACCTGCTCCCAGGAGAACTGATTCACTCCCTCAAGCCAGTATTACTTCCTTCCAAGGGTGTTGTCCCTATGCCCTATTCACCTGCTACTAAGCCCTACCTCTTAAAGGCTCCACCATCTCACTAGGGACCAAGCTTCCAGCATGTGAACCCTTGGAGGACAAACCACAATAAGTGATGACAGTGAACACCCATTTACACATGCCAGGCATGTTACAAACTTTTTCTATCATTTAGTTCTTACAGCAGCCTTTAAGGTAGATATTCTTACTACTGTTCCCACTCTGCAGGTCAGAAAAGCGAGGCACAGAAAAACATGTGTGAGGTCAGCACATTTCAGAATCAGGATGTGGTCAAAAAGGGAACAAGTTGTCTCTGTCCCCGATTTCAGCTCCCAGCTTGGGCTGAAATGGATCCACTTAGATATCAAACCCACAATAAATTCATATCTTTAGACGTTATTATAATGTGTGATAACTCTAGAGTCATTAAAATAATTTCTCAGTAGGAAGTAAAACAAGACTGGACTTTCTTGCCCATCGGCCAATACATTCTCAAGGTTAGAGGGAAAGTTGTATGGAAAATGATTCAGATATGGCCTGGGGTTCAGAGCCTAGCAGAGAGGACAGCTTCTGTTTACTACAGAGAATTCCCCCACCCCCATCTCTGCATGCTTACTTGGCCACACTGTCCCTGAAGCACTGTAGTAGGTGCTGTGAAAGGCACTGCCAAAGTAGCTTTTTCCTACTCATTTATCATTTTTTAAGAGAGTGTGTTGATAGGAGAGAATTCTAATTATTGTTCCAATATATTTTTGTTAATTTTGTTCAAAGACAGTTCTGCTTGGCTTTTGCTAGGCTAGCTCCTTTCCAAGGCCTCTCTAGCATTTTCATACCTCACTATCAACATAAGAATGAGAGCTCTCCAGAGGTAAGCATGTGGCTGTCACTTTGCCCTTTGAGAACCACATTTTTCAGCAAAGCTACCAGTGGCCCCTGTCTCAGCACTCTACATGGAGCCTTCTGAGCCATGGAGGATACAGATGACCCAGAGCAGATATACATGTACCCATCACTGTTTCAGTGTTCAACTTGTGTGAAAGAAGCATTTGCATCACATGCTGTGGGAGGCTCCAGGGTAAGAGGCTTAAGGTAGGTGTGGGCAAGAATCCAGGGGCTGGCCAAGGTGTCGGCAAAGAGAGGAAAAGAATGTACTTAGCTATTAACCAATGAGGGATTGACTAATCATTTGACTTTCTAATGCATTCATATTTGAAAGAAATATTTTTAAAATCTTGCTTGATTACAAAAGTAATGTGAGTTCATCAGTAAAACAAATCAGCAAAAAACTCCAGATATGACAGAATGCTAAAGAGAGTGAGACTTGTCTTAATCCCACATCCTGGAATAACCATGGCTGATGTATCAACATATCCCTCTAAATGTTGGTTCGTTAGAAGAACTTTCCATGCTTGTGATTGCAATGTACTCCCAATGGTTCTCTGACTTTCAAATAGCATTATTTTATTAGCATCAGCATTGGGAGGAGATCCACTGGCCATAAGACCATTCACTCCAGGCCCTCCAGCACTTGGTGACTAGGGTACCAATGATATTCTGGGGTTCTTAATTAAATGCAGATCCTGATCATTCCATAGTTGTGGAATGGGTCTAAGGAATATGCATGTCTGACATGAGCCAGGTGATGCTCTCCTATCAGTTAGAGGAATCCAGGAAGAACTGACTTAAGACTTGCAGGCTTGTGCATGTGTGGGTAAGCAAACTGATGACTGCATGGCAAGACTCACAGCAAAGCACAGAGCGCATTACCACAGTGCCATGGTTGTAGGTTTCCATCCAGAATGACATCAGATCACTGATGTCAGTAAAAATAAAAAGTCCATTGCCATCATCCAGCAGTGTTTATTCCGTGCATGTTCCCTTCTGTGGACGAGCCTGTGCCTTATGGGAAAGGGTAATCCCAAGTCCAACATCCACACAGACAGCTCTTATGGAACAGAAAGCAGGCAGGCAGGAAACCACCCTGCCCATGAGTCCAGCAGCCTAGTCTGTTAGCATGTGTCCAGTGGTCCTCTACTCACTAATGTATCATTTTATCACCAAACCACTTCTTAAAAATATTAATCTTCTACAAAATAATTTTTCATTAGTGATGAAAATGTTCTAAAGTTATATTGTAAAGATAGTTGCACAACTCTCTGTGACTGTACTAAAAACTATTGAATTGTACACTTTAAAAGGGATGAATTTTATGGTATGTGTATTATCTATCATAAACTATTGTAATACAATGTATGTTAAATACATTGTCTGTCAGTATCTGGTGGGATTTGGGTCCAGGACCCCTCACAGACACCAAAACTTGTAGACACTCAAGTCCTATTTATAAAATGGTGCAGTATTTGCATAGGGCCTGTCCATATCCTTGATATACTCTAAATCATCTCTAGATTACTTGTAATATCCAGTATGATATAAATGCTATGTAAATAGTTGTTGTTATACTGCACTGTATAGGAAATAATGACAAGAAAAAAGTCTGTATATGTTCTCCAGATGCAGAACCCATACATAATGGAGGGTCAACTGTGTATATGAACAAATATTGATTATTAAAATTCAAATCCTAGCAGAATGGGAACCTAAAAGAACTCTGGGGCACCACCATGAGCCTTCTCCATCAGGCTGTCTACCTCAGCCAGATTATCTGTGGGCTGTGAAATCTCCAGCCTCATCTTGCTTCACAGCTTGTCTAAAGTGCACATATTGGTGGCAATTGAGAAATAGAATTTTGGTATGAATGTTGGGGTGGCCAGCTGTGGATTCCTAAACAATTCCTATTCCTGCTAGTGTCAGTCAGCTTTCTATCCCTGTAACAAATACCTGAAACAATCAATTTAAAAAGAGGAAAGGCTTATTTTGGCTCATAGTGTCAGATGTTTCAGTCTACCATTGGTTGGCCCAGTGCTTTGGGGCCTGTGGCAAGGCAGAGCATGTCACCATGGGAGCATGTAATGGAAGAAGCTGCTCAATTCACATCCCCTGAGAAGTGAGAGAAAGGAATGTACTGTCATCCCACTGTCCCCTTTGAGGGTGCACCCTCTGTGACCTAAGACCTCCCACTAGGCTCTACCTCTTAAAGGTTACATCACCTCCCAGTAGCACTAAACTGAAGACCAAACTTTTAACACATGGACCTTTGGCGGACATTTCAGATCCAAGCTATAGGACTGTATAATTCAAACCTAATCTGGCTAACACCCCAAGTTGTGATAGTGGTGGGGGGAGGTCCAGATGTGAGCCTTATATGTGACAACAGCTGTTGGACAGCTGTAGATGGTTGGAGGAATGAAGAGTCTTAAAATTAAAAAAAAAAAAACTTTAAAATTACTTTTGAAGGCTTTTTCCTGATGCTACCAAATATTTAAAATAATGTTTCATAATTTCTGCTCCATCTTAGGGCTTCTTAGAAATTCCTTAATTATACTATGGACCTAGAAATAAATTGGAGCCCAGGAATTGACCTTTATAACAAGCCTCTCAGGTAGTTTAAAGTGTGTTAAATTCTTAGAACCACTTGTGTAGAACACACACACACGCACACACACGCATGCACACTACTGAAGAAAAAAAAGCCACTTGTAATTCTATCTATTAATAAGTCTATACCAATCCCCCCACCATGTGTGGTTTTGCCCGTATATGTTTTTTCAAATTGAGTTTATATTGTATTTATATTTAATACCTGCTATTCTCCTCTCCTTAACATTCTATCATGTGCCTTTTCCCATGTCATTAAATATTTTCTAAAATCATGATAATTAAGAACCTTCCTTTGACTCCTGTTTACCCTGTATCATTTTGAAGAGTTTGGCTAGGCCAGAAGCACAGGAGAGGTGATTTAACTTCCTTCTTTCTGGCAGACTCATTTTATAGACTAGTAAATGTTTCTGATTCACAGGGAGTCACATCATTGGTCTTCTTTCTGCACATAAGAACATTGGAAGGAAATATAATTTTGGTGTCTCTTTAGTTTCATCAGCAGATGATTTAATAGTTAATTGATGACTGATGAGCAACTCTGAAGCTTCTAAAAACTTCCATTTTCCCTTTTTCTCTGAATAGAATGTAAACATCATAAACCATAGTCCAGTCTTAATTTAGACCTGACTCTGCTTTTGATAATCAGGATAAGCACACACCTGGTAGGCTCCTCTGTCTTCTGTATTTAAGTGAGAATTTGGTAGTTAGTTTTAACTTAGATTGCTACTCTTTATGAGATAATTGGGTTTTTAAATATATATCTTTATTGTGTATGTCTCATGTAAAAGTCTGATATAAGGGTCCACAAATGCCATTACAAATCAACTTCATTTCTTTTAACTATGACTTTCATTATTACAATGTTTATTAATTGAAGTGCTTTTCAAGTTTTAGATTAACACTTCAGATCAAAAATCATGAGGTAAATAAAGGCAAAATATATTAAAGCAGTGCCCCTAAATTCCCCAAATCTAGATTATTTTGGACATGGTCAATTACGAAGTTCCGTGAAAGAAATCTACCAGCTATGTTGTGTTGTTTCCTTCCTGGGATTTAGGAGTAATTAATTCACAGAAAAATTAAAATGTCCATCTTCTGTCTTCAATGACAGATGCCAGAGATGCGGAACAATTGAGCAAGAACAAGGTGACACATATTCTGTCTGTCCATGATAGCGCCAGGCCAATGTTGGAGGTAAGAGAGGGCTCTGTGTGTGTATGTGTGTGTGTGTGTGTACATGTATGTGTATTCATTTGTGTTATGTGGTAGTGCATATAACTCTAATGAAGGCAGCCATATTTTCTCTGTCACCAGTGTGCCCCTGTGATCACTGGCACACTGGCAGTATTAAATTTTGTGCTAAGGCCAAATTATGTTTATGGCCTGCTTTTTGACATGTAATGAGAATTTTATTTAAGCCAGTAAGTTTTTGAGTTTGAACACCTTAAAAGTCACTAGAAACCATAGCAATTTCCTTAGATTTTTTTTCTCATTATGATTTTTTTTTATTTGTTTATTCATATGTACATACATTGTTTGGGCCATTTCTCCGCCCAACCTCCTCACCCCCTCCCTACCCCCCTAACCTCCCCACCACCCGCTTCCAGGCAGAACCTGTTCTTCCCTTAACTCTAATTTTGTTGAAGTGAAAGTGTAAGCAATAATAAGAAAGACAAAGCATTTTTGCTAGATGAGATAAGGATAGCTATACAGAGAGATTCCTAGCATTGCTTCCATGTACAAATGTGTTACATCCCAAGTTGATTCATCTCTAACTGACCTTTTCTCTAGTTCCTGATCCCCTTCTCATATTTACCTCTGTCACTTTAAGGTTTCTATATTAGTTCCTCTGCAGTGGGAATATCAAATACTATCATGTTTTTTGGGTTTCTTAGCTATCCCCATAGCGCCTGTGTGTGCTCTCCCCTTATGTGACCCAAGTCCAACCACACTGCTGTATCTAAAGTCCGCATATGAGGGAGAACACGATTTTTGGTCTTCTGAGCCTGGCTAACCTCGTTCACAATGATGTTCTCCAGTTCCATCCATTTACTTGTGAATGATAAGATTTCATCCTTCTTCATGGCTGAGTAAAATTCCATTGTGTATAAATACTACAAGAACTGGGTGTTTTTTTCCTTAGCCATTAAAGTTAACAGGTTTTGGTTATTATAAAACAAATGAGAATGGAGAATAATAAATGATCCTATTAAACATTATCATACCACAGAATCAGGTGGGAATGAACCTTAGTTTATTGCTCCAGATCTAAGAATTTACACTTCCTTGCATGTTTTAGCTCATAGTTTTTTTGCTTTGTTTTCATTTTTGCTTTTTTTTTTTTTCTTAGGTGCTGGAATTTGTGTTACATGGTTTTATTGAAAACAGCAAAATATATTTTGAGCCTAACAGTTCTTTTAAAATAAAGGTTTCCTTTATTTTAATAAATTACATAGAAGTCCTTCTCACACTCACCTACCAGGCCTGCCTGTTTACTTTATACTCCATTTGATGGAGCATGGCATATTGTAACCTCTATCTAGACACAAGATCTTAGAAATGAGAAAGCTCTGTCCCCTGTCTGTCCCATCCCATCCCCTTGTACAAACAGAAAGACCAGCTTTCAAGTAAAACAGGTGGGTTTGTAACTCAGATTAAAAGAGGCCACTGTTTGTATAAAACCTCAGAACCCTGGTAAATTGTGTCCCCTGTTAATATACTACATGTTTGTTTTTATCCCCTGTTTATTTTATATTTAAGGATAAATTCTGCCTTGAAAAAAAGAGAGGATAGAGAAGAAGGGGGAAAGGAAGAACAGAGAGAGAAGAGAAAGAGAGCAGAGGGAAGAGCAGGAAAAGAAAGGAAATTCTGCCCCTTTTAGATGGCTTTTACTTTTTCCCCAGAGCATCATATTACACATACTCTTCAATAGCCTATTCTTTGAGAATCCTCAGAACTTCTTGTTCTATTCTTTGGATGCTCTTATTACTTCAGCTTAACAATAAGTACTTCTCTGTGATTTCATTCACTAAGGGTTATACTGCAGTTTTACAGCACAACATAGTTTAGGATTACCCTTTTGTTCATTTTTTACTTCACAGGTAGTTCATAAATATGTTATTGGAAAAACATGTGGAGCAGATGGAGGCACCCAAAGCTACTTAAACTGATGCACCACAGTGTTTATGTTACTGGGGTTCCAGAGGTTTTAAGATTTTGTTTAGTTGTCTTCTGAAATTTCAAAATCAGTTCCAGAAGATATGACCTCACTCATGTGAGATGTGGTTGAGAAATTATTTGTTTGTAGCTAGTAGGGAATCGATGGATGGATCTAATCCTTTCTTAGCTTGATACTATGCTGGCCCTGATCCTTGGAGGGAAACAAGGCAGGGATGGAAGTAAGGGGGGAGTCTGTGTGTGGTGAAGCAAAAGGAGTGTGTTGATCTTCTGCCTGGTGAGGATTCCTACTTGAGGGAGAAATAAGGGATGGGAGAGGAAAAGAACTAGGACCCCTTCATTTTCTGAGATCTTCAAAGCAAGGCATGTTTATCAAATGACCCTAGGTTGCTGTGGAAAGCCCTAGTCTGGGGCTGGACAGGCAGTGGGGAGGTGGGTACTATAAAGAATTGAAGGGCTTTAGTCCTGCTGCATCTATGCAGGAGTTCCAGGAACCTTTCTGCCAGGAAGCCATGCATTGGGTATACTCAATGGGTTTAAAAGCACTGGGATACTTCACATCAATTAACAAGGGCTTCTAGTATCTAAAAGTCCACTTTTATTGCCAGGGACGCTAAGTGAAAGAGGTGTAGTCATATCATTGAATGTGGCCTCTAGAATTGAGGTCATAGCACAGGGGTTTTGAGTATTCTCAAAGAAGAGGCTATTGAATTGTAGCCATAGAATGTGATATTTGGGAGAAAAAATAAAGGAATTTAGGATACAGTTATGTTGAGAGAATGAAAGTTTTAAAGTTTTGCAATGCAGATGCATATTTATCAGTCTGTCTGAGCAAGGACCCAGTTTGTGTGTGTGCGTGCTTATCTTACCTACTGAGATCCCATGGAACTATCTACATTCCATAGACAACAGGTCCCATAGAGTCCAAACAAGCCTTTTGAATGGGTGTTTGATCAGAGGGTGCTCATGCATCTGCTGAGCTAAGGCAACCAGGTAGAAGAGACAACACCCAATCTAGTCTTGTTGCTAGCCGAGGCTGCCTTCATACAGATTGCCCCATTTCCATATTGCTTCCCTTGTTTCATTTTGAGAACTTGCTTTAGGGAGAATGGGAGGTTGTAGAGTTTTTGTACATGTTAAACATCCTCTCTGGACATAATGATCTCTACCCTGCCACAGTTTCTGACAAATGCCCATACTCTAAAGTACACTCACTAGAAAAGGCCTGATGAAGACAATTTTAGTCATTATTGATTTTACTTAGGAAAGAGATAAGGAAATTAATGATTTATTTAATTTTAGTTGGATTAGATGTGACTCTCTATTAGCTGGGTAATTTGAGGAAGGCAGGTTCCAAAATATCATTCACAAGATAGCATGCTCCTCTTAGAAGTATGAATGGTAGAAGACATTAGAAAGCTCTGTCCTCAGGCCTCCAGGTAGCTGGGATCTTTCACTGATAATCAGGTGGAGTTGAGTGGTCTCTCATGCTTCTTTGGTTGATGAAACAAAATTTGTGTGCCCTCTGAACCATGAAATGAGGTGATCAGCCTAGGGAAAGAGGCCTGACACTTAATTACTGTCACTTCAGAAGAGTATCAGAATGAAGACTCTTAGAAACATTGCAAAAATTTAGGAACCTTCACACTTAGGAGACTCAACCCTAAACTGACACCTGGAATTCTGAAGTGCTCTGATACTATACTATACTATTATCCTTTCTTATCATCCATTCCCTTTGCTTTTAGTTAGCAAAATTTTTTGTTTTGTTTCATTTGTTGCAAATGACCTCTTCAGTGTCCTGTGACTTAATTATTTCTTGAGCTCCTTCTATGCCCAGGCGCAAGGACAGGTGCTGGAGAGAGCAAAAGTGAATTTGTCCCACTATTTGCCCTTGCAAAGCCTTAGTGTATACAGAAGATATGTATTCTGACTATTTTGTAAATATATGTGATCATTACAGTCCAATGAGAAAAGAACTGTGACTCAAGACAGGCAGCAAATCAAATAGGAAGGAAAAGGAGTAGAAGCCCTGCGACCAAGATCCCTTTTTCTGCCTGTGAATAGAGAGGTGTTTGTAGTGAGCATGCATTTGACTGGGCCTTTGGCAATGACTAGGAGTTTGTGATGTTCTGGCTTGGTAGAAAGCTGACAAAGAGGGCCAAGATGAGACTTCACCTGGGTGGCCTATACTCTATACCCACAATCTCATTGATCTTCCAAGAATTTCAAGCCCAGCAAGGCAGATGGCATCATCCTCACTCTTGAGGCATAACTTCCAGGTGACACATCACCTTCTAACAAATGGCAGAGGATCTACTTGTGAGAACCCATGGTCTTATCACTAAAAGACACAGGTCTTCCTGCCAGCCATAAATCTTTGAAACTGTACTTTGGTTCCATAACATAGTAGTAGGTGATACTAGAGTGTTAGAGGAAAAATCGTTACCACATATATTATTTCAAATGAAACGAAATCCAGATTGTGATCATAATTTTCAAAGGTACAAAATTCTTCCTTCATCTATATCCATGTTTAGGACTTGATTGGGGAATAGCTTGCATTCACTGAAAAGTGTTTCTTTATGTGGGGTACTGACATGAACTGGTGTCTTCTGCACATACTGATTGCTTCAGATTGGAGGTGCTGAGGATGGTGATTTTTTTTCAAATCAGAAACCCAATATTGTTTGTAGGTGCTAAGGAAACAATATTGAGCAATGAAAGGTTTCTCTCTTCCCCTGAAAAATGAAACAGAACTATCTTTCTAGTGTAAAAATTTCAGAGTTTGTTTCATTTTTCATTCTTTGTATTTGACCAGCACACCTGCAGGAAACAAAGCTATTTTTCACTATTAACAGAATCACTTTAAAAAGTATTCTCATGCCTTCATGAAGCTGGTAACATGAAGAATTTTCATTTTGAAATGACTCATAATGTAGAATTCAATAGAGAAAAAAATATTTTATACACAGGTATGTAAGTGAGGGTATTATATGTAGATGAGGTAGATTTTA